ATTTAATTTGCAAAAGAGGATTTTTTTTTTTTTTCAATTAAGAAGAAATAAAAGTTGAGTTAATAATTTTTAATTTTCGACTAATTTATTTTAATTATATTAAATCTGATTGGGAAATAAATTACGAAAAAAATTTATGCAATATTTTCTCACAATAATTATGACTAGAGAGATTATTTAAAAAAAAATGATATCTTTATTCCTTGAAAAGCAGTATAAAAATTACACAAAATAGCTGTCACATTTGGACCCTTCAGAAAGTTATATATTTTAATTAGTACATTTTTAGTATGTATCTCCAACAATTAAATGCTATAATTTAAATTAAAAGGCTTTATCTGCCCGCATATATATTCACTCAAGGACACTTGAATTCTCAGCCTAGTAGAGAAGGAGGTGTGGAGCCTGAGGAATTTTAAGTGGCTCTGAGTTACGCACTAGGGCGAGACAAATAATGAACGCGATGACGAGAGTTTCGAGTACACATTAGAAAGAGAGCTACTATCTAGCTTGGTGAGGAAGAAAGAGAGAGAGAAAAACGACCGCTTAGAACTCTACATGTCAACTGGTCATCCGAATGTCATTATTGTCGGCTAGCATGGGACTAAGTCTCATAAATTATTTCTATCGTGACTAACACATTCGTATGACTGTGGTCGAGAAACATGTCACTCTTCATAAAAGCGAGACTTTGACAATATAAATTGTGACGAATCATTAATCACCAAGATTGAAGAGTAGGATAAGGTGAAAGTGGTTGGGGAATAGACAAAAAATTGATCATAAAGATGGAGAGAAGATACTTTAAGCTGGGAGCTGTTCCAGATCTCTAAAAGGTTTTGACTTTTGTAGCAATCACAATTGATAGATAATGTATCCTATTATCAGTTAATGATCTCCAACCAAACTCGATACATTTTTCAAATTTCGATATAATCACTAAAGTATTTCATCTCAATTCTAAAATAAAGATCGAAAGTACCGTGACATTTCACATTGAGAAGCAATTTCTGTTAAAAGTTCTCATGGGATGTAATCAACAAAGTTGTAATTACTTCGCACAGACTCGCCAAGGTTTTATTTTATCGTCTACCAATGAAGATATGGACAGATGTAATGCCACCAAGACAGTTTATTTTAAAACTCTCTTTTTTATTTTATCAAGTTCCTTTACAGTCTTCTCACATCATTCTCCTACTACTTTTCATCTTTTATTCAAACTGAATTACACTATAAATAAAATATAAATTGCTATTTAAAAGAAATTTTCTTTTCTTTGTTTTTAACTATCTTTTAATTTTGATTAAACACTGTAGACTGATGAATCATTACTTGCTGGTTATTTATTCGTGAAATTTATTAAATAAAATATCTAAATATCTGTTACAAAGTTTGGAAAATTTTTAGTAATGAATTATATTAAAATTAGTGAAAGTTAATAATGCAGCGTGTAATTAAACTAGACAAATATACATTCGTTTCATAAAGGATTTTGAAATGAAATACATTACATCATAGTAAATAGCAAATTGGTGTTTATCAAAGAGAAAATTTCATTATTTATTAAACCATAACGAAATATGAAAGGAGGAAAAATAAAGAATCAAATCTCATTGGATTATAGAAGAAGAATAAATCCACTTTTATATTTGTTAAAAACTATCGAAATTAATTTATGACAAGGGTTGGTGGAATAAAGAATGAAATTTAATAAACGCTAAGGACAAAGCATCTCTGTATTCTCGAGAGGTTGTAATTCAGGAGAACAGCATCGTTACACCCCTCGTTATTCTAATATCAGTAATATGATTGGCAGCTTTCTAAAGGGGAGAATATTTCAAGATATTATATTGTTACGTTTGTTAGGATAATAAAGATGAGACAGAAATACACGGGTAACACAAATTCTGGTTAACTCAAAGTTTATTCCTCCTGAGACAGAAGAAGATTAAAGATAACAGCGTCAAACAGTGTAATAAGAACGCAAGAAAAAATTCTGCGAGAGAAAAATATAAAAGATGAAGTGAAAATTATCCTTGACCAATTACTAAGTTCAAGGATACTTTTGTTCTTTTCCCTTTCTCTCATGATAAAATTTTATGGAGATATATCTCAAACATGACAGTTCTCTCATTTTAACTGAGAGATTATATTTTTATCATTTTGCTATAAAATATTTTTTTTCTCCAAGAAAAAAAAGCTTGGATAATAAATGAAGACAGTTAATTAAAAATTAAACATAATAATATCGTTTTTATATTTTATTTTTACTAATAAAATAAAATTTTATATTTTTTATATATCAATTTATTGATTATCAAGAATTTAATTCAATTTTTTTTTCAATTAATATGAATATAAAAACTAATTAACTTTACTAACATTTAATAATTAGCTATATTATATTGTTTAATAATAGAGTATATAATCAAATAATAAAAGTAAATATTTAATAGTAAATTAAAAAATTAAAAGACTACCTAATTTATTCGTTAATTGTGTTTGTCAATGCTGGAGATAGAGATGAGTAGATTGGTAAATAAAGATAAGAGTTAGGGTTGATGATGTCCACTCTTTGCATGCACAATAGAAGCTAATGTACTTTGTGCAAATTAACCTTAATGGGATTAAGTGGTTCTAAAAGGATGCATTGGAAATGTGCATTAGAAATATTATCATTTCACAAAATTATTTATTTATCTTTTCCCTCACTCGATGTTTTTTTTCCAAATGATGTTAAAGTTTTCTTTATGATTTTCAATAAAGATTATGGAGAAAATTAAGCAATTCAATTATTAAAATTAAGTCTTTAGACGAAATTGCCTATTGAATTGCTTTAAACGTTATGTTTTTATTTAATATTCTCTGGCATTATGGGAAAAGGTAATATTAGCTCTGGCGTCCATCCAGAAGCTCGTTGTGAATATATCCTCGTGCTTTACTCTAGATTATTTTCCTCTTTCTTCTTCATGGGGGTTTTTCATTTTAGTTGAATATTTCGCAAAACAAATTAGTTAATGTTTCTCTTCGTTCCATTCTTTTTTAATTCTATTCACGATGAGATGCAAAAAGTTTGTGATGTTCAACGGTAATTGGTATTTGAGAAACTTATGGGTGACTGACGATCCATCGATCATTTTCCTCATCAACAGCAACACTATCACACTCTCTGCACTCACTCTTATCAATTATTAACGTTCTAACGGCTATAGAGCTACAAGTAATTATCAAATACAATTTTTTCTCAGAATTTATCAACTGCTTTAAGAAAATCTCATCATGGCTAAAAAAAAAAAAAATTGATATTAAAAGAAAAAGAAGGTATTATAGTTTGACACACGTGAAAGATTAGAAAGTAAATTGGTTAAATTACTGAGAAATACCTGAGGAAAATAATAAATATGTGTTTTATGATTAATGGAAATAATAAATAACGAATGAACTGGTTTGAGTGTTGTTTTAACAAAACCATGTATGTTTTTGTTTGATATTGTGCGTACCTCTTTCACGCTTCCGTCAACTTTTACGCAAAATACATTCCCGAAAGTCAGACGGCGTGAAATTAACTTCTGGGCTCAGAGAACCTATCTTGATTTCCAGAGTGAGAATAGAACGATAATAAATGTTTATGTAAAAAAATTAATAAAAAAAAAAGGGAAGGTGAGATAGAAAACAAAGGGGAGGGCAATGTAAAGAGTAAATAAGTGACGATACCGGGGTAAAAAAAATTATTCGGATGATGAACACATGTTAAGTTGGGGAAAAAATGATGAAAAAAAAGTTTCTGAAAAGAGGAGAAATGAGGCGGAAAATTTTGATATCATCAGGACTTGAAGTGTACAAAGAATGAAACAAAGTTAATTAATGTGAGAAAGGGGTTAAAAGAATAATCGATCATAGGTAGATTAGAGGCAGAGAGTATAGCTAGTTAAGTCTTTCATCGTTATATAGGCTATTCAGAAAGTTGAGGTTCTGAATAGGAGGGTTGGAAGTGATGTGTTGGTTGTGTGATAGTGGCTTTGGCTACTTGGGTCATGCTTTCATGTGATATATTTGGTAACATCGTAGAAAGCGAGTACTGCATCCGCGTTATACAAGAGGATGGGGGTTGGTGAAGTAAAAAGTCGATACGTAATTCGTGCCGAGAGAATACAACGAAGACTCCTACCCACCCTAGATGCTTTATTCATCCCTAGTGTTTCGCTCGAGCTCATGCCAAAAATAAAAACCTTATCAACGTAATTTTTCTCCAACTACTTTTGCGAATTTTTTTGTTTGGACACTGTACTGGAGTTTTTCTATATTAAACAAGAGCAGGTGTGTCGGGAGATACAAAATACGATAATGTCACATATTTTGTCGACAACGGAAAACCGGATGAAGAGTAAGATGAGTAATAAAAGTATAGAAATATATATACACTCTGGTAGATGAACATAAATTGGATTTGGAGAACGAAATCTTGACTATTTTTAACACTCATTGTTGCACCATAGTGTAACAATAAATTCTTTATTTTATCTACGATTATTGCGGAATTATTAATTGGCTTAATTAATTTAGCTTTTAATGAAATTCAAACTGATAAAATAAATGATGTTAATTAATAATGAACAAAATGAAATAAATTTTAAAAGCTTTTAGAGCAGGATTGTATGAGTCTTTTTATTATTTTCTTTCTTCTAAATAGTATATTTAATGAATATTTTATTAATTAAAAATTATTCTTTTACCATTGGCAATTATTGGAAAATATTTTTTCAAAGTTTTATTAACAGGCTTAACTGAATCAGTAAAGGATATCATCCAATAAAATAACTTAAAACTTTGAAAATTTATCAGTACCGTTGGAATCAATTTAATTTAATTTGAGATTATTCAAGAGTCGATCTATAGAATTAATGTAGAAGAGCCAATTGAATGACAAAGAATCAGGAATACAATTAATCGCATTCTTCCTTTGGCAAAAAAGAAATAAAAGATTTTTTTTTTTTTTTCAGAAGCTGCTCAGTGATATCATAAGGGTTTATTAAGAACTAAAGACTGTTCTTCATGACGTTGAGTATTTGCCTGACTATTCCTTTCATCCAGATTCTATAGCCTCGTCGTTTATCCAACATATTATCTATTTATAAAGACGATGTTAAATGTACAAGCAGTCGGCACCCACAATTTAGCAGGTTAGCTTTTTAGATGGGGCAGATGAGTTATGCAAGTTACGATGAAAATTTTCATATTGCATTTCTTGTTGTGTTTGTGAGATTTTTGTCATCAGCATAAAAAAGAGTTTGAAGTGGAAAGAAATAAAAGTAATACTGTATATGAGTTGAATCTATTCCACTTGTGGGCTTGTCTCTGTGTTGCAAACGAACGCATTGCGTTCCAACAAGAGGTACAGGTCGTTTGTCACCCAACGAATGAAGCGACACTTTATTTTTCATTTTTTCTCGCCTACTGCATGGCCCACCACGTCGTGCTTCGTTCCCTTTCTCATTTAATACTGTCAATGTCCTACCCTCTACCTTCTGTTTCCACCCGCCCCATTACTCATCGTACAAATTATTACTCTAATTTGCCTCGACCTGATGCCAATTGACGATGAAAAAAGTTCATTTGGAACTCCCTTAATCCATCAAAATTGTAGACAGATAAATAAGTCGATATTTTTTTTCTTATTTTTGCTGCTATTTTTATTCTCATCAACACTGTTTTATTTTTGTTTTTTAAGTTAAAAATAACTAGAAAAAATTATTTTCCAACATCAGAATTGTGAAATAGTGTGTGTACGTGTGTAGGTGAATATTCATCAGCGGAATTCGAAGCAAATCAATTATATTGAGCTGTCGCTATTATAAATCAACTTGGATAAATAAAAAAAATTTTTTTCTCCATAAATTCGAGTTTACTGGGTTTGAATTAAAATTTCAAAATGAAAAATAAATAAAAAACTACATCACAATGTTTATATCTTTCACGTTTGGTTATAAATATAAACTTCACGATTGAATCAATGTTTTTATAGAATCGTCTCAAAAAATGACTAAAATTAAAATTTTCACATCCTTTAGGGATATGACTTTTTTATGTGAATAAAAATAACTCAACTTCCAGTGAAAAATGAATTTTAAACCACATCAATCTGCAATCAAACTTAATCAAAATTAAAAAAATGGATTAACTATTAATAAAATAAAAAAATGTTTTTACTTCCAGCGTTTATTTATTGATATTTTTCCTTCAACATCCTTCATTAACTTTAATTACTTCCTCCAAACTAATAAAAAACATTTATCCCACCTCAACATGTTTCCAAAAAGAAGAATGATTTTTAAATGAAAAAATAATGTCTAACAATAGCATTCTTTTTCATGTTGGCACTTAGGAAAAGGTAAAAAAAATGCAAAAAATCTGAAGAAATAAAATCCAAGGCACAAAAGCATGTGATGTGGAGTAGTAAAAACGCGCGAAAGTTTTCAAAGAATTTGGGTGAGAGCGTGAAGCTGTTGAAGGGAATAGCAGTAAAGTAGCGGCTGTCGAGTTGTCTAGTTTCTTGGTAGTCTAGTCTCTTACTCGTTTCTCCGTCCATCACTTCCTCTTTTAGGTGACAGTAAGCATAGGGATAGTCTTCCTTTTTTCCATCGTCCTCCATCCTGGTCTTTTCTCTTTCTCTCCTACAACATAAGCATCGCTCCTATCTCTTCATATATATATCCCCTTCCCCCCTCGCCACGACATCATCCCCCGGCCCAATATTGATCCGACGACGTACCGCGCGCGGTTATTACTTTATGCTCTGTACTCACTGTCGCATACTATGTTCGTAAAAAAAAGCAAAATAATAAAAAAAAATAACATGCCTATTCACATCCAACGTTTCGCTACGTGTCTGCGGCTACAGACTCTTTTTCTACACGACACGGGAATATATATATTCACTACAGACGCAAAAATACAACGAATGCGTTCGAGAACCAACGGATTATACGTTTCAAAATGTACTCGGCAGTCCCCCAAATACATATAGGAAGTTCTCATATAAAAGCTCGTTCTACAATAAGCTAAAATATAGACAGTGTTCTAAAAACTGCCAGAATTGTAAGCCAAGAAAAATTCGCAATTTACTCGCCAGTGGAGTTAACATTATTTCAGTAACGATAAAAATTGCTTTTATTGCCATTAAGTAAACCTCGTATATGACTTCAAGTCGTAAAAATAATACGATTACTGCATTTAGAAAGGAAAATGTATGGTGATTTCGTGATGTATATTTTTTTTTAACATTAACTTTTTCTAATCTTCACAGTGTTAATAATTAATTTGCTTTATGTTAAGTTCTTTTTGCATAAAAAGATATTTAAATTTATAAAAATATTCCAGTCGTTAATATCATTGATTACTGTACATTGATTTAAAGTAAACAATAGCTTATTATTGATCTTTTAAAAAAATTACATATAGAGATCTGATTATATGGATGAAATGTAATTTAAATACATTTAATGATTAGCATTTCCCCAATTATTTTTTTGTTTTATCGAAATCTTTTTCGGATGTCTTAAACCTGTCCTAATTAGGCTTTCCCTACTTGGCTCCAATTGGGATAAGCATGACGTTCCCAATGAGGACCTAATGTGGTATCTATTAAAATTGAACTCTTTTTCAAAGAAAAATGCTACATCAAGTTATTTGGAATAAAAAAAAAATGATTATATTGGTAATTATTCCATTTGAGATTTCGAATAATAAACGCATTTATTGTTTAAAGTTTTAATTAGGTGACTGTGAATTTTTTTCCCATTCTTGAACCCTTTTATGTATCACACCCATCATGTAGATGAAACACAAAAGAAATCGATTGAGGAGCTAGCGTGGTTGGAGCACGGAAATAAAATGTAAGGGGTTAATTGGAACAGATCACCGTGTTGACGTGTTCTAGTTTGCGCGCGAAACCCTTTTTTGTCACGAAGACTAGAACATTTTTAACAGACTACTTTTGCTACATCCTCTTGCTTCCCCTTTCCATGTCTATTTTTCCCCAGTGTTGATATTTTTTTTCTTTTATTCTCTTCATTCCTATTTACTTTTTCATCGTGTAAATCCGGCAACTTTTGATTTAGCTGAGTTTTCTGCTTCTTCATTCATTTGAGCGTTTCCTCTACTTCGTTTCTACCAATTGGTGTTTATATCTTTAACGAACGAACAATGTTGACATATTCATTCATTTACATTAGTAGTAAAAAAATGGATTCAATAAAGAACAGCTTAAAATGTACCTAGCAACTTTACATCGTAGCCTATTCTTATTGTTATTTATAACTTCGTTTACTCGAATGTATCAACACAAATGTCCAGTTGTGTGTTCATTTCCTCATGGACGTATTTATAACTTTGAGTACCAATATCGTGTTTCGTTGCACTGTGAGTCAAATGACGGTGTAATATAAAGGAATTGGTGCTGCATATGAGTTTCTCCACCCTCTACTTATGTCTTCAGTAAGTTTATTAACTAATTCATGACTTTTTCCGTAAAATAATGCATGCCATTTGTTGTCGCCGGCTTCAAACTTCCGCTTGCTGTGAATTCCAAGTAGTACAACTCAACCATAAAAATTACTATCACTACTATTTTCGCTACATTAATTAAACAATAGGTCAATTATTTGTTATTATTTTTTATACTGTTACTTCCAAAGACTTACTTGGATTATTGCCCTATTTAAATTCTGCATAACAATAAGTGTGATTTCATGTTGACCTACAACATTTATTAACAAGGCAAAAAAAAAATGGAACGTTTAAGAAAATCTAGTTATCAAAGAAGAAAGTATCTAATTAATTACTCCATTAAAATAAAAAGCACTTCAATGTATAAAATACTTTTGTACAACCTCTTGAACACAATTCTTTTATTTTATAGTTGAGAAGTTGAAAAATGTAAGACAGAATCTGACGGCTATCTAAGTGTCTTAAATAACAATAGCCAAGAGAAGAGAAAGCAAAAGAACCGCTTGAATGATAAAAAGAAAAACTCGCTAATAATATTGTCAACAAAGTCATTAGACATTTCATGAATAGCCGAAGAAGTTTGAATGCTGATGCATGAAAATGTAGAAGTTTAAAGAGGCTTTTCCGGCAGAAATGAGAAATAACTTTCGTCTCTAAGAAGAAAGGAAAATACAAAAGACAGAAACACGCGAGTAATCGGAACACAGGCTGCTTTGCTATGTTCATATAACGGATAATAAAGGAGATTGGCTCTAAATTACAAAGTCCGCTGCAGACAGCGCGTTAAATACCTCTCAGAGACAGAAACTACCGTCAAATCGGTATCTGTACGATTCAACTACTCTACCCAGGCGGTCCATCGGGAGTTCTCACTTTGGTGTCATCCGCACAAGCATAATGACTCTTCCTTTACCACTTTTTATTTTTTTTATTTTATTCACACCTATATACAGTATCTATTTAACTTTACTCTCTTCATCCTGTTGTATGCAGTCGTGTTTCCTTTCAGTAATTAGAAGAAAGTTAATCCAAACTAAGGTCTCTGGTAATATAAACAAATAAGCGATTTAACGACTGGAAGCAAGCCACGTCGTCGGCGAGAAGGCGAGACAGAAAGCGCGACGAGTAATTTAGCCGTAGACGAGATTTATTGAGATTCTTTGGGCTCGACTTCACCCAGGATCAAGGGAAAAGGGTGTAAAGGGGTGATGGAAGAGAGGAAAGAAGAAAAACGAAGCTAGCACGTCGCCTGTCTCGAGTCCGCTGCCTCTACTGACAACCAAGCGAGTCCGTTTTCAATTTCACCCCGATTCTCTTTCAAACCCTCTAGGCTTACTTCTTTCTCTCTTCCTATTCTAGAATTCACTACGCAATGGTATTTGTTTTTATTTTTATTATTTTTTTTTTTCATTAAAAATGGCTGTCTATAATCTTTATTACTTATTCATTCTCATCTGCGTGTGAAAAATAATTTTTTTAATATTAATTCGCAGCAAGTTTGGAATATTTAATGAAGGTATTTAGCAATTTTTTATCTGAAATAAAAATATTCGGAGGAGCATTGCAAATTTTAAATTTTGAGTGTTTTATTTCAATGCAGTTAAAGTGTTTTAAAGTAACGTCATCCATTTGAGGAACATTTTAGTCACTTTTATGCACTTGAACATGTTTATAAAGTGACTACAATGCTAATTAAATATAAGTGATGCCATTTTTGAATACATTGAGTGCATTGAAATGAATGATTTGCAAAAGGTAGCTGAAAACAGAGAGAAGTTTATAATCAATGTTAAAAGGTATCTTTTTTTTTTTTTAATTTA